TATCCATATCCCTAAACATCAGAAAATATGTCGATCAATTTATATTAATTTGTCGTCGTGAACATAATCCACAGAGTATGCTTGTGTGTGCATACATTGCATTCCCCCAAGCAACATGCTGCATAATATTCAGTATTCCTAAGAGTCTTCAAAATCCCATGAAGTAACTTCATTGACTGGTATACATTTGAAGTTGTCAAAGAATAGTGGAGACATCAGCAGGCAGCTAATCTAAACACTATCATCTAAGGTATGTGAACACTTTAACTGTTTACTTGAGACTTCTTCAATGAATGTTCTTTCCGTTATCTAGCCAGTGATCCTCTTTTCCTTCTGATACAAAATTTAGTTTAGGTAGTTTGAACCAATCATATTTCTTACTCAAAGTTGAACTAGATTTCATCTGCTGCTGAACTAATATTTGTTAAGATCTAAGAAATAATTCTGTCATCCACATAGATAGATGCAGTAAATTTTCTCCGAGCAAGAAATGATCCGTCTCCCAATATTATGCCTTGGTTAAATGCTGGATAACCTGACAGTGAATTACATATCAGTGTAAAGAGAGAACTCGTCCTTCAGGTACTAGCCACTACTCATCGACTTCTCTAGACATTCCTGAAAACCTGAAGGAAAAATGAAGCATAAACGTCACAGCTTATTTAGGTTAACATGACACTCCTTATGACAAATTGATAGGTCAAAATGATGAACTGTCCGATTTTCGTAATTTTGCTTATTAAATGATAAATTTCAGTGCTCCTTCAGGTTATCAATCGCACAGGTTAGGAAGGCAGAACAAAATGGAACAAGTGCAAAAAGTTGTTTATGCTCGAACATGAAGAATTAAACATCATGTATCCTACTACACCTACGTCTCACACAATAACACGACAATGTTGTAGACCTCACCTACTTGTGAATGAGAAGTACTCCATTCTAGGTACTGCTTGAAGATTATTACTGATTTATACATAACCTCAAAAATTCATATTCCGGTGATTATATTGTAGTCATTAGGGTAACTACCACCATTACTATTACTGCTTTGAAACTCTTATTGCTTCAGAAACTTTATGATCACTAGAGGACCTACCATATTCGCTATTTCTAATACACTTTGAATAGCCCACCTATGTGATGCACTTAGGATTATGACTGTCGTCAGGAAAATCGAATGGTGTGGCTTCTATATTCATTTGGGTATTATATATTTATAATTCGTGGAAATGTGGAAGGCAGGAGATGTGATTCCCTGTATCAATTATGAAGGAGTACTTGATATCATATTATGTACTATATGTAGTAGATGCCCGAAATCGGCAATTCCCCTGTACGAAGCATTGAGAACATATGTTATTATTGATAGTGGAACTCAACTATAATCTTAGTGTGTCTGTAGGGATTTGATTTCTTCGAGTTCTGACTGCACATGAGTATTGAAAACCAGAGAGTGCGAGACAGCTGTTTCCTTTCTTATCATCGGTAGTATTCAGCCAATGTATATCCAACCCACGACTTTGTGATTACAAGGCAAGTTGTTAGGCGATTCAGCCACTGAAACGCGACTCAATGGCCGGCCCATGAATTCTCACCTCTTACAATTCTTGATTTTAGCACGACTACCAGCCAGTGTCACTGGTGAGTACTTGCTCCCCATTCAAAATCGATAGACCTTACTGATCACGACCTCTCACATAATATGAGAGCAGGATTAAAATGTTGTAGGAGTTTTCTTCCAAATTACCAATAAACAAATCCACTACTACTTGAGGGTAATGCTGTAGTACATAATTTAATACGCGAAAGTTTTGTTTGACTGAGACCTGGGTCCTATTTTTGAGTTCAACATCAGTATTAAGCTCATTCGTAGCAGACTCCACAGCTGTAGTGATCCAAATATTAGTGCAGCCAACCGTCACTTTAGAACTTTCACTTCTTCATCTTGTTACATTTGAATTTCCTATAGCTTTTGTTTCATTGCATATGAAATAGTAAGCATACAGTCAAAACGATCTCAAATGTGAGATGATAGTGGAGCTGAATATCCTGATTGGCCATTTGTCATAGTGTTAACTGGTAGGTAAATAGGGCCTCCCACTCAACGAATTTCACCAGTACCACACATTTTATTGGAATTGTCAGCCAGGGATGACTTCAGCTAGTGGACTAGATCTGCTGTAGATTTCTCAATCCTATTCATGACAGTGTATCTAGGTTTCTTGATGATTTCACGTACACATGTTTGGATATTTTGGTGAATTCCCGTCTGTCTATAACCACCACTGTTATTCCCTTGCCTGAATTGGAAATCACTATGTGGTTCTCGTTCCTAAATATTTCGGAGCTGACAGTTCTTGTTGTGATGACTTCTTTCTAGCTCTCTCTTTTAATGATTCAGTGGTGGATATTACTTTTGAAGTACTGTCACGTATTTTATTATTCCCCCTCCTGGATTCATAATGGAACATAAGGCTTCACCAGGACTCCACTATTTCCAACAAACTGTTATCGCGTCTTCCACATTATCTCCTTTCTCGTCTGAATTGGACCCCAAACTCACTCCTTTGCATTCGAATTCCAGTCGATGAACAGGCATGTGATGTCACTCACTAGCCTTCTTAGAGTATGTTCAACTAAATTCTACTTACCCCTGCATAATTTCAGGCACAATGTTTTGTTGATGCGATGTTTCCAAGAGTTCCTTACTGCTTCTCTGTGTTGGTCAACAGTGCGACATACGATATCAAGCGAAGACATCTGTCGAATCAAAACGTTTTGTGACATGTTGAGTCTCTCGTCATTTATAGCAGCAATAACTTGTGAAAGTAATAATACACAAAAGAAACCATTGGGAAAGGGAATAAACTCAAAGTATTTCTGTGGAAGTTGACTGGTAGCTCACCAGTTTTGGGAATGATGTTTCAACCATAATACTTCAGAAAGCATATACCGGTCCTCAAGCTGGAACATACACATTTGACGTGGACCAGAACATGATTTACAGACCAATTCATAACGAAATCTGGAAGCTTTAGAAATGCAAAGCATGTTTGAGGAAGAATGCTGCTGACCCGTATTGTTCGCTTACTTAAGCATACATTGAGGAGTTGAAACCATGCATAACATCGTGTAAAATGGCATGGACGCCTTACTGCTTACCCTCAGTCTAACCAGTCGACTTAATCAGTGATCATTAGCACCCATTGATCAGTGATCACAATTATGCAGGGTGATCATTTTAGGTAATTTATTATCGCTACATTCTATTGGCTTGTATTTCTCGTCTTCTGTGGCTCTTGCTGCTCATCCATCATTCGCTGAAAAACGCCGATCAGAAGGCATTTTGTCCATTTTCAATTTAATTTTTCAAAGTGTATGGGATTCTTTATTCCCAGAACTGACATCCACTTTTCATGTGAAGTAGTACCGAAAATTTGGTAGTTCAGAGTGTCCTGTGAAGTATTTTTTCTCATGGATTTAGTACAACCTCATATTATGCTAAGTCTGCAGTCTACTATCTAACACTCTCAACATATAATACTGATTAAAACTGCTAAGTATGGCTAATGAGTCTTTTTGACAAGATGTCTTGCGTATTTCACATTACTGAAACCAAGCACATGCAGCCTTCATATGCTTACAAGGACTAAAACAATCAAGTGACATTGTACAGTTTGTGTTACATTTTAGGTCCTGTCACCTTCACTGTGTTCCAGTCCACAGTATTTGTAGTGTTTCAATAAAATTTCAGAAGCTGTAATGTGAAAGTCATTAATCGAATGATGCAATAATTAGTAACACAAACGCAGATCAACTAGTGATGATTGTTGACGGAGTGGTGATGGCTGTGATGATATCATTCTCAGGTTAAGATTGTCGATATCCATCGAAGTGATTCACAGTAGTCAGTATGTCCTCGTCTGCTGTGGATAAAGTAAAGTGTGAATTGAAGTGAAGTGACAAGATGACACGGAGGGAAATTCCGTTCAAACTTTGAAATAAAACACTTAATAAGACACACAACAACTTTAGGTGGAGACAATTTTCTATAGAAAACAGTTGACTTCTAATTTTGGTAAATCTTAAGTCTACTAAACATTACGTTTCCAACTACGGATTGGATACCATAAATAACTCATTCGGAAAAGGTGCTTTATTTAATAAACACAGACTCACCTCATTTAAATACAGTTGCATTTTCGTGATAAAATTCTCTACCCTAACATAAATGTCATGTCTTTGTGTTTGGTTATGTCTACGTGTGTGGTTGTGTGTAGGTGTGTCGGTGTGTGCAGGTGTAGGTGTCTGATTTAATCAGTGAGGAAAGCAACATTCAACTGACAAAAAGTATACTGAAAATAAATCAAATATAATTCATACTACTCAGAATGGTAAGTGACAGTCTCGAAATTTCACCTGATATAAATGGAAGTATTAACAGAATCACTTTTCTAAATCAACTGAAATATGCAGAGTGACAAAGTGTGGGCGCTTCTCAAACTATATGTGTTTAATTAAAAACCATATGAAATTTAAAGAAACACACTTACTCATATATTATTAGGAGTATTCTTGGTGTGACATATGCTACTGACAAGAATTTATCAGTAGTCTGTTGTTTGTGCTGTCTTCTGAAAAAGCCTTGAATGCCTGATAGACAGATTAGGTTCGGAGGAGGAGGAGAAGGAAAGACGATGCTTGTGGAACAATGAAGAATAGAGTGAAGTGAAGATGAAACAGTCAGAATAGGAATAACTTTTGGAAATGGAAATCCTTATATGAGGTCTCTGTAGCTTGCCCCCACTGTGTATCACTTCACCAAACAAACCATTCTGTTGTCAAATGACAATGCGTCCCACCGTAAGAACAGTGTTGGTAATAGTGGGCTGAGAGCAACAAGATTCTAAACAAAACAGCTTCGCCAAATCACTTGATACCACTGAACTGGGTGAAACGATGCATTCATAAGATGAAAGTATTCATTAATCGAATTCGAATCAACTGGATGGGTGAATCTCGCGATTGTCAAACTTGACTGGAATCCGACCATCACTTTTATTAACAGAAAAGAATGAAACTGGATGAGTGTATATGATTTATGTGAAAATAAAAATCGATGGTATGGATAGTTGGGACCACCAAAATATTAACCAAGTGACGGTACAAAGAATAAATAAATAAATCTACCTGCCTATTCTTCAGAATATCTTCAGAAAACTAATTTGTTAGTAGCATCGTCCCCTATGGCTACAGAATGACATGATAAACAAAGGCATTTTACACCACCAAATGTGCATTTTAAGTGAGTGTGCTATGAATGTGCTTCGATTAACACTTAATCACATTATTCGGTGACTATGGGTGTGTTAGCACAGTAATTACAATGAATTCATGGAGCGCCTATTAGTGGAACATTTGTGAAAGCCACAGGTGATGTGTTATAGTTATTGAGGGCATTGTGTTAGGAGTTATGAATGTATGTCGTAAATAGCATAACATCGAAAATAACTCCAATTCAGCAGTATGACGAAAGGGGATGTGACGATGAACAATAAATTTTGCTGGACAATTCACCAATTAATGAATAATAATGATATTTCATTATTCGGTATATGTCAAATAAAATGATCCCCTCAAGTAATTCGAGAATTCGGATTTCAGAAAAGCTATTCATAATGGATGAAAACATTACGCCAATAATTCAAGTTAATCGAAGTAATTAGAATCGATGCATAACAGGTATCCAATGCAAGATAACTCATCGAAAAGGTTCTAAACTAGAAATTGAAAGGAAGATGAAATGAAGATCACCAAAATGATTGTTTGAGTAGAAAGAATGAACACTAAAGTTGATATACAAGATGTTAAAATGAGTTAAATGTCAACCTGTTTGGGAGCTAAGTAATTAGTGATGAAGGTAGGAATTCTCGTCTCTACCTTTTGAAAGAATCGACTAGACTTAATGAATCCATTGATTCTTTCTTCTTGAGGACCTCAAACCCATGCTTTTATTGAAACAAGTATAAGGATTTAACCACAATCTGGTTGATTAAGTATCAAGAGTAGGATAAATATGGTAGTTGTCATTACGCTTTAGTCATGATAGCAGATGCATCCTGCGTACTGTGTTTCCAAATATGAACTGATCGACACTGGAACATTTCTTCAGTCCCCCAACGTGTGTACATCACTTGATTTAGTAAATCATGTGAATGAAACGCTTAGTAAGTGAATATGGAGTGCTTCCTTGAACTACGAATTCTAAATACTGCTCATTCAACATGCTGACCAGAATTATATCGGTCTTATTCTGTGGAAAAGCAGTATAATGAACATCCCAGTCATACACTTAACTAGTATACTGTAATGTAGACAGAAAGTGAAACAAACCGTCTGACTTGAATCGATTAGTTAAAATGATAAGAGGTGACACAGCTACTGAACATATTTGACCACCACTAGAACAATTATTGTTTGAACTTGGTCTTTCCTTCTTGCAGCAATTCATACACAAGAACACAGAAATACCTGCTGTCAAACGTATTACAATATTCCAAACAGCTCTATTACTTGTGCACACCACAACACGAAACGCTAATGAAATGTTTGGCATCAATAAATTTGTCAACTGTTCTATTTCTAAAGAAAGAGAACTCATGCAAACCAAAGCCTCATTCGTGAAATTATACTTGGTAATGTGTTATGTGGAGCATACTATTACGCCATTATTATTATAACAATCTGGAAAATGATATATTTGCATCACCAGTGTGAAAATGAATTCACTGAACATTTTAGGAATGAAAGAAGATCAGAAGGAGACACAGAATAGAATAAATCATTGCTGAAATACAAAAAATGAAATACACTCATCCTTGTCTTGAAAGAACAAATGTATTTCCAGTGAATACTGAAGTGGTCAGTGATGTGCAAAATGTGTCATATATAATAAAGTCATTTTAAACTACAAAAGGATCTTCATTTACAATTCTTCAAAAATTAGATAAATCTGTCAAGTTCATGTTGTGTTGTTCACACTGAATGAAGTTAAGTGACAGTCAGTACATATGTAATCATGGATGATAGGTGAGGTCTGAATGTTGTTATTAGTAATAAAAACATCTAATGTTCAAAATAGTGTGATGGATAAGATGATAGAGATACAAAGTGGCAAGAGTACTTTACTGTTCGCAATACATTTAACTTGTTTTGATTCAGCTTGGAAGTAGTCGGCGTCGAATACTCTGTAAATGAGTAACAGTAACAACACCGTTAAGTGAGATTGATGCGGTATTATGAATTCGTGACGAATAACATTGTTAAAATCAAGAAGTTAATCAGTCTTCGTTTAGTTGACCAAGCAGATGGACATTTCCTTATGCCAAGTGAAATAACTAGTGAAGACTGCAACATTCAGTGATTTGTTCTCATTCTGACTAGTCCTAATCCACTTGACATTTCCGACGAGGCGGTTATTCGGTGCGTGGTTTTCATGATGAACAAGAACGAATTGGTGATCAGATTATCGAGGTCGATTATATCAAAATCGAAATCAGGGCGATAATGGTAAATAAATGACACATTTAAGAAAACGAAATGGTTGTAATTTGGTAAAGGACGAGAAGGAATGGTCAAAGCTTGACTGACAAGTTCTAGGTTCATTAAGGATTCGTAGGTTGAAATTTTGAGAGCCAGGAGACCTTTGTACGCAGATGAGTGTACATTGTCTGCATCTGCATCGCTCTACAGAAAAGCGAACTCAAACATACTTACTGCAGTCCAACACTGAAATATTTCTTGGCTATGACCGAGCACCCTGTCAACACTGGTTATTACGTTTCAACAAACGCCCCATTCAAAGTAACATACAAAGTAAAAAACCACCTGCAAAAGAAAATATGCTTTCGTCTTCTCTGGATTGCTGGAGATTTAGCTATTCTGATTGGACTCTAGTAACTAGTGTGACGTGTCTAGTCCTTTCTTTGGTGCAGACTGAATTCTATCAGTCAGGTTTTTGCAATGTGGCCACCATTTTAGGTAGTTCACCATCACGGCGCACATTGATTTGATGATATTAGATGGTTGGAGGCAATCGACAGGAAGCCTTGGACCTGGATTTCGTGCTAGTTGGCATTCATCAGCAAGGCGTATCTGCAACCTTGAAGGGACATGAATTCAACAAACGCCTCATTCAAAGTAGCATACAAAGTGCGGAACCACTTGGCAAAGGCAACATCCTTCCGTCTTCTTTGGAGTGTTGAAGAATTAACTATTGATTTAGTGAAACCTATGCTGTACATGCAGAAGAAAACTATCCAACCCTTTCCACCATCAAGGTGATAACCTTCTTGATTTCTAGTGACCTGGTTTTGTTAATTGGGTTTTTGAAATCCTTATAACACACGTATCGACTAATATTAACAACTGTGTTTGTGAAAACTCATCGCCTTTGTTACTACCATCTGTCCCGAGAATCATTTGTATATAAATGCGATTGTACTAGGAAAGAAAATAAATTCGCTGCAAAGAGCCTATTCGCTGAACTATGGGCACAGTTTGGATGCATAAATAGTAATTTTCGAAGATCTGCATGAATTTAAATTTATGCAAGTTGATGGGTCATTAGGAAATACCAGTCATTGTCTTTCGAACTGTTCTGAAATAAACACGAGTATCATATATATACAAAAATCTCACCCATATTCAAAAGAGGCCTCCTCAGTATAATATTCATCAATGCTTTCTTCTTTATACGCATCAAGAGTAGCTTCTGCAGGTACATCAACTTGGTCTTTTGAAGTTTCAGGAATAGTTTCTTCTTTAGGTACAGTAATAGTCTCCTCTCTAGGTACAATAATGTTTTCTTTTGTAGGTACACTTATAGTTTCTTTTGCAGGTCCATCAATAGTTTCTACTGTAGGCTTCCCTGGAGTTGGCAATATAGGTTCATTTGGTTGCTGTCCTTCAGCAAATGAAACATCTTCTATAGCAATCGCAGTCCATTGTCGATAGAAACCTGCCTGTACACAATCGATTCGATATAATACTTGTTGACCCCCATCACGCTTTTCGAGACAGATCATACGGCCACCGGGTTTCAGCAGTTTTTTCATCTAGGTCATTTGTGTGTAGAAAAAGTGAATACCACAGGAGAATAACGTCATTATGTAATCAGTTGGTAATCCCTAGTCAAAGTTGGAAACTTAAAATGACAGTGACTGATAAACCAGCATAGAAAGTATAGCCTTGATAAGTATCAGCTGGTGTGTAAACACTTCCTAACATCACACAAAGATAAACCCACACGAGGAAAAAATCATCGGAATTGTGAAGAAGCGATGCAATAGGAAATGTGTTTCCTCGAAGCTGTGACAATTTAGTTTGAAAACCACTGGTTGTTAACACTTAATAAACGGATTATATTAATTTGAATTAAATTGTTTACTTCATATTTGACCTGACTAGTCGGTCTTCATTAAATATCTTCCTTCTAAATATCTTACTCTGTGTTTATTACGAGACATGAATTATGGCATCATCTCAGACCTTTTAGTTCACATTTCATACAGGAAGAGTGATGGATAAAACCAAATTTCCAGACTTACAACCTGGACACCTGTGAATAAGTGAAACATTGAAGAAAATTTATAAGTGTGAGAATTCATTTTCTCCCTTAGTTCAGTTACCAAGTGACACATTCAGTCAATAGATCTCAGTCAACACATTTAAGGTCGGACAGCACTAATGGCTATCATCTAGCAAGAAATTCACGCACATGAAGACCTAATATTCCCATATTCACTGGACATAAACGGCGTCGATCAGGGCGAACAGAGAGTTCACCAGAGCAAACAAAATGAAGTTATATTAACACAGGGGTTGATTTAAATTTACATTTACAAATACATTTTCTGATTCATCGTAAAAGAAAACGTCGGAAGTAGTATCAATGACACTATAAGTTAAAGGATCACTCGAAAACCTGGGAGTACTGGACGGCTGTTTTATCCTAGTTTGGGACTCTTCGGCAGTACGCACCCACCGGGATTCGAACCCAGGACCCTTGAATTCTAACTTCTGCCAATTCAAGGGCCATTGGATCGGGTGCCAGTGGCTCAATGTTCTACGAGCTTGCCTTATAACCAGAAGGCCCTGGGTTCGAATCCCAGTGGGTGCGTACTGCTGAAGAGTCGCAAACTAGGATAAAAAAGCTGTCCAGTACTCCTAGATTTTCCAGTGATTCTCTAACTGTTGTCAGCTCATGATGAAATCCTCCATGCAATCAAACAAAATCCCTACAAAACCAATACTTGAGTATTAGTTAACTAGGCATATTTCGTTCCTAATAGATTTGGTGAGAGGTTTTTCTGCTAATTTATGAAGTCATGTCTTATTTACGTATTCATACAACAAACTGAATAGCCCAGACTACTAACTATAACAGCAACATTCACTTGATTTCATTGCCGATGAGAAATCCAAACTCATAATGGGAAAGTTTTACTCAATCAATCAATTCATACATAGTACAAATAGTATTAATTCCCTATAAATAGAGGATGAAATGTTTTGCTATCATAAAAATCTAAATCAAGCTTGACTGAATTTAAACTGAAGAGTTTAGTATTCTCATTTCAGAGTGGTCGTGTTCTGCAGTTGCAAACTATGACATCATAGACGTGGACTGTAACGATTTCACAAAACTCTCACTAGATGTATACGTTGATGTAAGCGTTGGTGCAGCGTGACCTATTTCCATTTCACAAAAAGGAAGAATTATGCCCCTGGTTCTTCCATGGATAGAGTTATCATGAAGTGTAAAATGAATGAGTGAATGTTATAATACCTGGTTCCTCTAAAATAACTGTGTCCTCTGATCACAATCAGTCAAAAATATTTGATTGGATAACATTAAAATCATGTACATGGAGCACTGGGGGAGACAAACAGATTCAGGTTTTGGGTGACGTACAAAGCTTCAAGCCTGTATCTGTCCCTTCATCACAAGTACATGTGCTTCATCAACTCTTTCCTAAAGAAATAGACTGGAGACTCGAACACCACCTCTTCTGGCGTCTGATTACAATAATTAATAGCTTGGTTAGTGGCCCATAAATTGACAGCGAGATAGTTCTGTGTTTGCTTTTGTATCGCAGACCAACAGACATGTGTATTCAGTATGTCAGATAACTTCTTAATTTTCATTGATAACATTCTCCTCATAGAGCATTAGTTTCTTCGGGACTCAGACGCATTTCCTGCCAAATAGATTTTTAATATATACAGTGTGGAAAAAATATGTTTACCGACTCACTTTATCCACTACACTTTTGTCCGTTGTATGAACAAAGATCGCATCAAATGGAGTCTCTTTTGACCAATCGCTTTGAATGTCACCAGATGGGAACCGAATCTGTTGCCCAAAGTTTAAACCAAAATCACGACCTCTATTTTTATAATCCAACCAACTTTTAACATTATTCGAAGCCAACTCAATTAATTTATCATTAGGCAGGGCTGCAACAGTGACACCAGAGCGACCAGTCTTCAGGAGAAATACAAACAAAGAGAATAGAATTGTAGACTGCTTCATGTTTGGTAGATTTCCAACAACAGATAAATAGCCTACCACATATTGTTCTAAGACAACACTACTGACATGGGATTACTTGTAAAAAGTGAGAATTGTTTACGTGGTTTTTTCAACTTAAATAAATCTTTCACATTTATAAGCGTTTATGAACTATGTGTTAACTTCCATGAACACAACAATTGCAAATATCGGTGTCTTACTACTACTAATAATAATAATTCTTTCGTTACCGTCAGTACTTTTATCGCGAAAAGCATGTGGATGAAACACACCTTCTAACATCTAATGAATAAAATCGAATAAACCACTAAAATACTGTATCTCACTGCAACAGCTGAAAGCAACCTCAGAGAATAAAGCAAGATAATAATAGTGCATATTTCATCACGAACCAACATGAGTTAGAGACTCATTGGAAGCCAAAGAGCACTGAATAGGTCTTTTGTTCTAATTGTGGACCATTCAACATGGCATCTACACTCCATCAGGAATCAAGCTCATTATTCGTAGTAAGCCTGTTTATTGTTCACTGAATCTAATCTCGCATGAATCCGTTGTGAGGCACACCACCATCATCATCATCATCAATGGGCACGCAGATGTTGACTGTCATTCTTCTGCTTAATAATGCAAACAATATAGATTTCCTGAAGCTCTATTGAGAAAGCGTGAAGAGAGGAGTCGAAAATGTGAGAAATGAAGCAGGTGCGTGGATGTTACGTTGCCAATTTAAAAAAAAATAGAACACATGAACCATTAGGTTTCGATGCACTTCATGAAAGACAAACACACTTGTTTTGTAACCTGAAGGTCTAATGTTTGATTCTTAGTGGCACCATTGCTGGATACTTCTGAAGAGTTTCAAACTAAGATGAAACAGCTTTTCGGGCCTATTTGGTTTGTCATGACTTTCTAACTTTGAGGAACATTTTAACATTCTATAGGACAACTGGCACTTGCATATAAAAAGAAAATTATGCTTCATGACGAATACTGACAATCCTACACAGTACAAACATCGAGAAGCAAGCGAATCAGAGTCAAATAGAAGTCGATATGACTAGAATCAAGACTAAAACTAGTACAAGTGCACATATCGTCTTAGGGAAGGGTTTCAACATCTCATCTTGAAAATACAACACTTTAGTGAGAAGAGGAGCATATATCTATCACAATAATTTGATCATGAAACAACGGCCAATTATTTTTGCGGAGTTATAGGATAACTGTTGACCATTTTGAAATATGTTCATAGTGGTCAGTGACTTGGTATTGTGTTACATTGTATTCCGTGTTACATGTTTAACATTAGTCCATATGAATATTTCAGTGTAGATATTGTAGTATTAAACACTCCTCAACCAACTTCAATAAGTTTCCTAGGGCCTATCTATATTACTCAGTGGATTAATATTAGTTCCAATGAATTACTGACCCAACAGTTCTTGACAATGATAAATTCATCCGATACAGAGATATTGAACAGTATATTTCAGTTCAACAGACTTACCATAATCGACACACATGCTGTGAGGTATCCACTGCCTGGATCAAGAACTAAAACACGAAAACCATTTTCAATGCCGGGTTTCAGTAATGTCAGAATGCGCAATTGCTAAATTATGAAAAATAAAATGAGAAATACATTTTAAATTATGGAAGTATACAAGCATGTTTGTATCATGAAAACATATGAGAATCGTCATATTTCAACTTCATTCATTACTGTCTACCACTTTAGTTTGCCAAAAATGTAGACAGATGAGCGTCAGTGTAGACTGAAGACTATTGCAGTTGTTGGGGAACAGGAGATTTCGCTTTATGCAGGATGTGTGCTATTTTCCTAGGATCCTTAGGATACTCTCTTTTACTTAAGGATACTATCTGATTATTATTAATTATTGATCTCAACTACCATGTCATACTTGAACCGAAATCTCTCACATAATTGAATTCATTGATGTATTTCACTGAAGACTAGTCATCCTCACTCGTCTGTGTACTGTCAAGGAAGACACGCCTAATTCTGCACTGAAAATACGCTTACAAACAATGAATAAAACTGTGTGAACGATTGTATTTCAAGAATTCCCATTAGCCAGTGGTGTTAAAATATGAGGTTTGTAGATACTCATCGAACAGTTGTAAGAATATATTCTATGCACATCACGTCAATATTGAGGACCCCAGTGTGTTTATTTTCCTCTCAAGTAGTACGGAACTGCACAAAATAGCACCTACATCACATTTAAAGCATCATTATATAACTGGTGAGCGAATCAATGAATAAGAAACACTATCCAGTCGTTAGTCATGATTTCAAAATCTTGAAAACATTTATCCATCTGCCAAATCCCACCTTTTTTCACTGTATATTTGCATAATCCATTTCACTACATCGAAATTCAAACATAATGAGATATCTTAATCATAATTTGGCCCGAAAACCTGAATTTTCCTCCAAATGGATGAGTTTAAGTTACGAAAATATGAATGTTTTCACATGTCAGGCAGTCATTAGTGGGTGCGAACAAAATTCACAAAGAAGCAAGTAACTGGATGAGCAATGACTTGAAAACGATGATATTAATTTTTAATATGCAACGTTTGCTCTGTCTGAATGTATAGAGGTCATTCAGACGAAACATATTGTTTCTCATTTTCACATCAACACTAATGTAATCATTCTTCTATTTATAAGGTGCACTTTGAATGACGAAGACAGTAGTCAGTTAAAATAATGCATCTTCGAAATGCAGTAATGGGAAGAACTAAGCATCTGATTAAACAAAGGAACTCTGTGGCAATCATGAGTTAACACATGGATGTTTATAGGAATCTACGTCGTCTAATGAAAGTTTCCAGATAGAGACTACAGTAAACCTGTCGACGCAGCAACCGTGCATGTGTATAGGCTACTGGATGATCTCAGTCTAACTATTTGCACACTGTTTTCCAAGGAAACTGAAATGAAAGTCAAGCGAGATGTAATATAAGCAATTTTAGTGATATCTAAGAGTCCTAGGCATATCTTTCTCAGCTACTTTGAATGCAACACTCAGTCACTGAAACAGATGTAAGCCAGATGTGTTAAGAGTAATTAATGATGTCAGTTTTTAATGAAACGATTATTTCCGATTTGCACACTTCCGCTTTTCATGTCTTCAGTAGACTAACTGGATACTTCAGAGTACTACGTAAATAATATATGGCATCTAGAAAAGTTTGCAAGCTAGTTTAGATCTTGCAGATTATATGTCAAAGTTTATTTAAATTTAGACATCTGACATCAAAAATAATATGCTGTTCCAGTACTTACACAGCTAGCATCAAGACCTTATTTCTTGCCTGTAAACTGACTTTTAGGCCACTGGTGATTTCCTAATCTCCTATACCACATGCATTTATGTGGAAGACTGGCGAGGAATACTAATAACACTTCAAGAGCAACATTTCTCAATAAAGTGAACCAACACAATATGTACATTTTGTGCATTTTCAGAATCAATGATGACTACAGTTAAGTCTCATACAATTGTTCAAACAAGTTGAAAATCAAAATGGACAAATGCCTGAAAGACAGAGATAAATCCAAAAAGAGAGACGTGAATGCGTCTACAGTCGTGAAGAACTAAGCTAATTAAAACACCAAGTGAAAATTGATTTGTCACAACAATCCGCAAAATATACTTCGAATTTTCAAACGAGAAGGTTCAATTCCCCATGTCTGAGAGTTCGTTTCTCGCATCCAAATGTAAACCAGTAGCGTCCTCCAGCAAACCACAACACAACAGCACTTTTTGTTCTGATTCACGCAAAGTGGGAGTAGGCCTACCCTGTAGAGTAAGTGGAGAGAAATGATGTGTGCCTAAACCAGCAGACAAAGCTGTGTCAGCTGCCAGTGAATTCCGTAATAGATAAGATCTCACAGAAGAGAGACAGAATCTCACCCGCGTTGCGCCACTCTCATGAGTGAGTGAGATTGGCCTTGCCTGAAGATCAACTAGTTAGTCTTTCGCTAGTAAGTCTTTGTGTCGATGGCTTGGTAGTAGAACACTAGTAAACCACGCAAGTGGCCTGGGGTTTGATCCTCGGCATACGCACTCTTAGACCTCGCTTACCCGGCAGTAAATACGGTAAAGAGGTGAGGTTGAGCGTGAGACTAGCAATCCTATATTGTTAAATACTGCTACTGAAACTTTGAAGCTCTATCCTGAAACCATTTGTCCTAGTGCAAACAGGAGTGAATAAAAAGGTAGTAAATCTTGGCTTAGATACCTCAATTCTTTTCTGCGGTCATAAGAGCTGTCGTCAATTCAATACTGATGTTTCTGGTAGTTGAGACGGTAGAGAACTTTCATCTGGAGCCAGTTGTCACACAGACGATGGTTTGGACTGATAACAGCGTCTGCTTCCTGTTTTGTGGTGAATTATTACTGTCACTGTTATTATTATTACCTGAGCTCACAAAATTATTCATGGCCTAAACATTATGAGAGTGCTCAAATTTCTCGCCCATTTCTCAGCATTTCTTCTCAAACATAGCAATTTGTACTTGGCCTCACCACTTCGATATGACTTTGAGTTTAAGTGTCACTGGTGCGTTCTTTCACTCCTCTCACTATTCATTCACCCGACCAGCTGAAGTATTTCTGGGAGTTTGTTTGTTGCGTTCAGTTTGTAACCGGCAGTGTATTTTATCGAAGAAAGGACATCCCACCAGCAACTTCAGTTAACCTGCAAAAAATTAAGACTAGGCTTCCCCTGCACAGTAACTTGAGGAGAATGGTGTAAGCTTAAGGGCGACACGCTTAATTAGTTGGTTTACAGATCTGTAAACCGCTGGCCCGTGAATGGTAAATAAACGTGAATTCGTGTTGTAAAGTACTAACTTTTTCATGACAATTAGTGTTGACTAAGCGGGCATAACAGTGGCTGGGTTTATCTGCTTCAAAAGGGAGTATAACCGAGTAAAATCGGTTGAACTCACCACACTTGGGGACAGAATAATGCCACCATGCTCGATTAATTGAAATTGATTTATGTATGGATTTGTTGTAACGAAACAACCACGATTTACAAGTTCCATGACTTTCAAAATATACTTCGGTCTGCGATGCCCATGTTCTATGTAGAAATAAAATGCAAATGTTAATTACTTTGTAGACCGTTGATCAAATCATTGTGTTTACGCTCATCCGCCTTACAGGTAGTTTTACACGTGACAGAGTGAGAAATTATCGCAATGATCAAAATGCTATTGAAAATAATAGCAAGATCCATTTGTCAACGCGGAAACGCAAGTGACAACTTTGAAATATCACCTTTCAATATTCCAATTTCGTCCAATATCCAATGTCGATTTTACGAGCTAGTATAAACCAATTTGATTTCTTTATGCTCGCCTCTTGATTGTGAGGTAGAGGTTCCTGATCTTCGGTAAACTTCTGCGTAGCTCTTCCCGCTACTCCAAAAGGAGTAGTGCAGTGATTAATCATATGTGGTTTGTAGAATGAGGTGTGTTAAGACTAACTACTAAGAATGGAGTTGATCCTTTCACCAGTTGGTCCTTCGGTATCGTCGTCAATAGAAAAGAGATAATAATAATAGAGATAATTAGTGAAGTTATTCAGACTAACTGACAGAAAAAGAATAAGAAAACGTAACAACAGTCAGTCAACCGGTATACATATATATATATATATACCAGTAATAATGATAATGATGATAATAATAATAATAGGTGTAGTTAAAGCTGTCAGGAGAGTAGGACTGAAGAGAATGTAAAGAAGTAAAACGACCAGTTTAATTGTCTACCTTTGAATGGTATATGCGATTTTAAGGGGATAGGCCATTTGGATGCGGTCCTTGTGTCACTGCATGGTTGTCCAGCCTTCGCTTAAAGGCGTCCACAGACGGTGCCATAGCTACATCTGCCGGTAAGGAATTCCAGGGACGGCAAACCCGCAGGGAAAAGAAGTGGGAGCGCACCCGGGTCCTTGCCCTCTGATGAGCTATCCTTCTAGGATTTCCACGAGGGAGCCTATAAATACTCAATGGCAGAACATCTTTGTTTGGGTGATTCTGGTCATTTGTTATTTTGTAGACAGTAATTAAATCCTCCCTAAGCCGACGATAACTAGTGTGAATAGGCCTAATTTCTTCAGCCTTTCATCAAATGGTTTATTTCGGAGACCAACCACTCCTTTTGTTGCCCGTCGTTGGACTCTTTCCAAGAGGTCAGCGTCTCTTCTAAGCAGTGGGGGTGCAATAATATTATGCACTTCAAGATGCGGTCTGACGTATGTTTTGTACAACCTTAGAAAGAGCTCAGGAGTGAGTGCACCTAATTGTCTATGTGTAAAGTGTATGACAACATATGCCCTCGCTACATCCCCCGTGTAATTTACGCTTGTGTCCATTTTCTCCGTTAGAACTAGACCTAAGTTACGTTCTGACGTTGAGCAGGACAAGCCTTCATTGCACAAGGTGTAACTTGCATTCTGCAGTCTACAGGTGCGTAACTTCACTACTTTGCACTTTTTCAGGTTGAAAGTCATGCCACTGGCCACCGCCCAGTCTTCCAGAATGTTTAGATCTGCCTGCAGTCTATCTGAGTCCTCCGGACACTTTATCGCTCTCCATATCTTCACGTCGTCGGCGTATAGAAGAGTCGTGCAGCTTAGACGGCATGGTAGATCATTGATAAAAATCAAGAACATCAATGGTCCCAGGATAGAACGCTGCGACACTCCTGATGACGAGCTGTGCCAAGATGATCGGACTCCATTGACCTTGGTGAGAAATTGTCTTTCAGTTAGGTGGTCCTTCAACCATAACAGAAGTGGTTTACCTATACCTACCTGGCTTATTTTGTGTAGGAGAAGGTCATGGTGAACAGTGTCAAATGCCTTCTCAAAGTCTAGAAATATCACATGGACTGGAACATTCATATCCCAGCATGATGTCCAGTCGTTCCAAGCTGATAATAAGTTATTGACGCAGGATCTCTCTTTCCTGAAACCGTGTTGTGCTACATGGAGTATATTAGACCTATAGAGGTAATCCCTGATGTGATCGTCAATAATACTTTCCAGTACTTTCGATACCACTGGGAGTAGAGCTACTGTTCTATAACTAATAGGATTTTGCCTATCCCCACTCTTGAAGATCGGAGAAAGGATGCTTCTTTTCGATTCCTTTGCCAGTTTCCCCGATTCCATGGAGTGTTGAAACAATTCGCATAGGGGCCTACAGAGAGCTTCGGCGCACTGTTTCAGAACAGATGGCCTGACGTCGTCACAACCTGGGGACTTCCCAGGTATGAGTCGTTGCGGCTTTCTTAGTACTATTGCAGGGTTTATTTGGGGGTGGCTATTTGGTCTTCCTCCTGTGAAATAGTGGTGCCACCATTTTGGTCCATAACGGTAATACCCACATTGCTGTTCAGCTGTTCGGCGAAGGCTAAACTAAATGTTTCAGCCATCTCCAGACTATTGAGATATTGACAGTTTTGGCCTACTAAGCCTCATGCCCTCTGGTTGGTTGGTTTTCTCTCCAACATGAATCGGTAGAAGTTTTTCGGGGTTTGCTAGGAGTTTTTTGGCAAGTTTAGCCTGGAATGACCTCCTGTCCCTCCTGACTGTCGCGTTGCATCGTTTCCTGAGTTCCGGGTATGTGTCATGGTCGATCTGGCTTTTAGATGCGCGCCACGTAAGCCAAGCCTTCCACTTTGCTTGTAGAATACGCTGCGTGCCTCTCTTTAACCATGATGACTTTCTTTTGGGCTGTGTTGTGACTAAAGGGACGGTATCCGAGATTACTGTATGGATAATCTTTTTTACCGCTTCCCAGTGTTCATCCACAGACAGCTCATCCCATGCTAAGGGCCAGTCTGCATGGGACAAGAGCCTCCGCATTTCAGCATAGTCAGCCTTGCTATAACACAGACATGGTTGCGTAGCGTCCCACTGCAAATGCTCATGGAGAACGAGGTCGAAACCTATGACTGTATTGTCACTACTTCCTAGAGGAGTCATGATCTGGACCTTTTCGACAAGTAGTTGGTCACTAGTTAGAATGTAGTCTAGTTTTGATGACTTTCCACTAGGGCCCCACCTAGCGTCGTCTCCCGCATTCTCAGTCAGTCCCGTATTTCGAATAGTTTGCAGTAGATTTCGGCCTAATTTTTCCTTAGCATACTTCGAGTCAAGGTCCAGTGATGGGGCATTGATCAGTGAAAATTATAAATTCACGGCCCTCCACTAATTGTCAAAAATGACGTAAAGCACAGTACATAGCCAGAAGTCTTCTTCCCAATGTGCTATACTTCGTTTCCGCTAATTGGAGGCACTGCGAGAAAAAGGCGAGTGGTTGCCACTCTCTGTCGACTAGCTGTTGGAGAACTGCGCCGATTGCGGTGTCTGACGCATCAACCGAGATACTTAACGGTGCCATTGGATCCTGATACACTAGAAGTGTGGCATCCGCAATAGCTTTCTTAACTTGAGGGAAAGCTTTTGGAGCAGATGCTTCGAGTTCGATGGACTTCTTACTCCCCCGAAGAAGGTCTGTTAATGGCTGAATCAGAGAAGCACAGTTGGGATTAAACCGTTGAGGATAACTTACTCAGCCGTTAAAAGTGCGAAGACTTCACTGTCTTTGCCTCCGGAAAGTTCAGTATCGCTCTGGAAAGTTCCGTTTCGCCTCAACTTTAGTAGCCAGTGGGCCAATGCCCTGACAGTCAATAGTGTGGCCCAGAAAGTCCAGTGAGTCAACGCCTATCTTTTGAGTATTGATGGTAACACCATGTTGGCGTAACTTTTCAAATGCCATGTCAAGTGTTTAGGGTGAGCTTCCTTGTCTGGACTGGCAATAAGGCAGTCGTCTAAGTATGCGTATACAAAGTCGAGACCATGGAATACCCCGTCAGTGAAGCGTTGAAACGTTTGGGCCTCATTCCGGAGGCCAAATGGCGTATGTAGAAATTCAAAATTCCGAAAGGCGTAGCGGTAGCCGTCTTTGGAACATCTTCTGGTGCCATCGGGATTTGGTTATACGCTTTAACCAAGTCTATTTTCAAGAATACAGTTGCACCACATAATGTTACCGTCAAGTCGTGTATATGAGGCGATGGATAGCAATCAGGGGTTGTTTCGGCGTTCAATCGCCGGTAATCACCAGTGGGTCGCCAATCGTCGCTATCCTTTTTCGGTACCATATGCGATGGGGATGCCCATGGGCTGTTCGATGGCTGAATGATGCCAAGGGTGAGCATAAGATCGAACTCATTTCGAGCGATTCTCAGTTTGTCCGGAGCAAGTTGTCGTGCTATAGATGTCACGGGTTGTCCTGAGGTTACGATGTGACGCATAACATTGCTGGTCATGCAGGGTAGATCGTTAGACGGGAATTTAAGTTCCGGGTACTTATAAACAATCGGTTGGAAAGTTGGATCAAGGATTGCCCTTACCTTGACGTATGACCACCTGGGACCTTCGTAGGTGATCTCTCTGATAGACAGATTGGTAGTATTGTCAATCAGTCGTCCTCGGCGGACGTCTACGAGTAAATCATGATGATTAAGTAGGTCCACGCCAATGATGGACATTGTGACGTCATCGAGAAGGAAAGTCGACTGAATAGGTTTGCGTTAACCTACGTTCAGATAGGCGTATTTCCTACCAGAGATTGCAACTGGTTTTCTTTTTCCAGCTTTTAAGTTTGAGGTGCGTTCCTTGTGTCTATCTGCTGCTGTAGCAGGAAGGACGTTGACTTTGGCGCCTGTGTCGACCAAATATCGTGTCTGACTGACCACTTCATGACTAGCGCTACCGGCGACGGTTGCCACCAGTGCGTGCCAGCGGGATAGTGTCCCACAGTCTTTGAGGCATTGCTGAAATTACAAGGTTTTCGGCAACATTTCGCTTCCTGACCGTAAGTATTGTGATACCAACACTAGCCTTGACTTAGATCGACCACGTGAGTTTCGCCGTTGAGGGGAGTTCAAGCTAGGGTAGGAGAAATTACATGGCATATTTGACCTAAGCAGCTGCTGGGTTGAGTTGCATAACTCAATCACCGCAGTATCATTACTCGAAGTATGTTTGGCAACTGAGCATATTTCAGTAACTGGCCGTTTATTTATTTCTAGAATTTTATCTGAAGAAACATAAGTCATCTATAATAACACCGTGGAGTGTCAATAGCTCAGCCTGTGCTGACTCTGGTAGTTTGGGTAAGGACAGTTATCTGAAGAGTCCTTCACCAAAATGACGTCGACC